TGGTGGAGCGGGAGCTCATCTCCAAGCACATGAAGACCATCGTGGAGATGGAGAACTCCGGCCTCGTGCATATGTTGAGGAGCAGCAAGACGGAAGGTGTGCATCCTCCACCCCAGCTCCCCCACCCTGTTGCTATGAGAGCCCCAGCTGTTGCTGAGAGACGGGTGCTCTGAGATAACATCAGGAAAATAAGCCCTTTTCATTTTCCATAACATTTCCTGCTCCACAGGTCTTGATTTGAGGGGTGGTTTTGCTTTGCTTTTTGAGTTATTGAGTGTGTTTTCCCGTCCTCACATGTGTACGCCTGCAGACCTGGCCTGTATGTATAAGCTCTTCAGCAGAGTGCCCAATGGCATGAAGACCATGTGTGAGTGCATGAGCTCCTACCTGCGGGAGCAGGGCAAGGCACTAGTGTCCGAGGAGGGCGAAGGGAAGACCCCCGTGGACTACATCCAGGTAGCGCTCTTCGTGTTGCCGTTTTGAGTTTTATGATCATGTACGGTCTCCGTCGGGATTATGAATCTTCCACAACTGGTGATGGTTCTGCAATAATTTGTATCCACTTAGTCGGGGAGCTTAAAATTGAAGTGAATGGTGTGAAACTCACTTTTTAATTTGGGAAATGTTCTTAAAGTAACCAGCCACGTTTACCTCGGTTTTTAAGGGTCTTCTGGACTTGAAGAGTCGCTTTGACAGGTTCCTCCAGGAGTCTTTCAACAATGACCGGCTCTTCAAACAGACCATCGCTGGAGACTTTGAGTACTTCCTTAACCTCAACTCCCGCTCTCCTGAATACCTCTCGCTATTTATTGATGATAAGCTGAAAAAGGGAGTGAAAGGAGTGAGTGAACCGTCCCCGGTGTGTCCCTTCCATTGCACTTTCCCTCCACGGCCTTTGAGGCAGCTGCGTCTGCACAGGGCTGAGTCTTGGAGAAGCTTGCTGGCTGCTGTGCTAATGCTCACTGCTCGCTGACTCCGCAGCTCACAGAGCAGGAGGTGGAGTGCATCCTGGACAAAGCCATGGTCCTCTTCAGGTTCATGCAGGAGAAGGATGTGTTTGAGAGGTACTACAAGCAGCACCTGGCCAGGAGACTCCTCACCAACAAGAGCGTTTCCGACGACTCCGAGAAGAACATGATCTCCAAACTGAAGGTTAGTAGGAACAGTCCAGAAGTTTGATTTGTGACTTATACGTGCAAAACCAAGAGTTACGCTTGGTTCTTTTTAGGAATGTAATTTATGCTGCTTTAGATTTTCATGGGTTGGGAAAAGACTGTAAATGTGATGCTGGTCACCACTTATTTTGGTCTCTCTTTGATTCCAACTCCCACAAACAGACAGAGTGCGGCTGCCAGTTCACGTCGAAACTGGAAGGCATGTTCAGGGATATGAGCATCTCAAACACAACCATGGACGAATTCCGGCAGCACTTGCAGACAACGGGGGTGAGAGAAGTGCCACAGTGCTGAAAAACCTGAGACGCACCTTCCAAACATGCAGGAGTCTCCACTGACTAGCGGAAATGTAAGACCACGTCTGTCTTCTCAGGTGTCCTTGGGTGGTGTTGACCTCACAGTAAGAGTCCTCACGACTGGCTACTGGCCCACACAGTCAGCAACTCCCAAATGCAACATCCCTCCATCTCCTCGGCATGCGTTTGAAGTCTTCAGAAGGTAGGTTCTCCTGCAGGTTTCCATTTTCAGCTCCCTCCTATCCTGCATGGGTGTCCGACTTGCAGTTATTAGATCATGAGCGATTAAAATCTCGCTCTCTCTCGCTCGCTCTCCTATATATATATATCAAAAACTGGTAACACTTTACATTAACTATTAACTGCACCTTTATAATGCATTCATAGAACATTCATAAGCATAAGTACACCTTAACATCCTAACATCCATTAACAGCTTTAATATACATTAATAGCAAACATTACATGATTATATAATTATAATGTTTGTTATTAATGTATAATACAGCTGTTAAGGGATGTTGGGATGTTAAGGTATACGTACATGATGTTTATGAATACTTAATGAATACATTATGAAGGTGTACTGAATGTTTTATGAATGCAATATAAAAGCATTATGAAGGTGCAGTTAATGTAAAGCATTACCAAAAATTTAAATCCTCTCTACAATCTGCCTTTACGGAGAGATTATTAGTAACGTCCTACAGTGCACATTCTATCAGTTGGAGTTTGCAGCTCATACACGCATCTAAAGTTCTCTTGTCATCCAAATCCATTTCAACACACCAATAAACCAGTAATAGCAGACATTAGGTAGTGCCTTGGATTTCTTCCTCTCTCCCAGTCACGTTCTCATCCCAACATGCATTGGGCAACATGACCCCATTGGAGGAGCTGGTCCCTAATTAGGGGAATTAGTTTGGTTCTACTTTTAAGTAATTTACAAGCGAACATGAAAAAGATTCATGATGAGATCGTGGATCGTGATCCTGCCTGAAAAAAATTTGATGTTTTTGTTGCCCGTGTTGCCCACCCCTGTTGGAAAGTGTGCCATCCTGTCTTTCTGTTCACTCCTGTTATTGGCTGCCTTGCCATTACGCTCCATCTCTGTTGGCATGCCCAGGTTCTACTTGGCCAAACACAGCGGGCGACAGCTGACCCTACAGCACCACATGGGCTCGGCAGACTTGAATGCCACGTTCTACGGGCCCGTCAAGAAGGTGAGCTCCTGTCGCTTCTGCTTTGATAGGCGTGTTTGCTGGTCCCTTTACTGATTTCTTATAAATCAAGTTACTGGTTGAGAAGCTGTCATTCGGTTCCTCATGATGGGAGCCACTGAATAAGGACTTAACTTGACAGTGCAGTTCCACCCGACAAGTTCATACTTTTCCCTTTAACACCTTAGATCAAAATAATTTTCTCTTAATCTCTCTCCAGGAGGATGGATCTGAGGTGGGTGTAGGAGGTGCCCAGGTAACAGGCTCCAACACCCGGAAGCACATACTGCAGGTCTCCACCTTCCAGATGACAATACTCATGCTCTTCAACAACAGGGAAAAGTTTACGTTTGAGGTGTGTTGCAGCTGTGACCCAGCCAATAGTCCAGAACACTTTTATAGTTAAAACTGGATCGAGTATCAAATCTCATCCTTGAACGTCCCAAAGACTTCCTGCAGTTGCAACGCAACTCCTTGGTTCCCCCTCCAGGAGATCCAGCAGGAGACTGACATTCCCGAGCGGGAGCTGGTGCGGGCGTTGCAGTCCCTGGCCTGTGGGAAGCCCACGCAGCGCGTCCTCACCAAGGAGCCCAAGTCCAAGGAGATCGAGAACGGCCATGTGTTCAACGTCAATGACCAGTTCACCTCCAAGCTGCACAGAGTGAAGATTCAAACAGGTGCCACGCCGTGTGTCCGTGGGGCCCAGGAGAGCCAAGAACAGCGAGCATGCTTAGCTGACATTATCCAAAGCAGCCTTAATCTTTGTGCAGCTGAATTTTTACCAGAGTACATTGGTAGTACATCAGTGCCCTTCTAAGGGTCTGCAGCAGCAAGTGTCCCCAGCTTTTGAAAGTGGACCCCATAATTAATGTTTGTGTGGCCTGGGGCAGAATCCAAAGCTGACCCCCCCCTTCCCCTGTGTCTTCCCTCCAGTTGTTGCCAAGCAGGGGGAGTCGGACCCTGAGAGGAAGGAGACGCGCCAGAAGGTGGACGACGATCGGAAGCACGAGATCGAGGCCGCCATCGTCCGCATCATGAAGTCGAGAAAGAAGATGCAACACAACGTTCTGGTGGCAGAGGTGAGGGTTAGGAAGGACTTGGAAAGAGGGGGGACATGGCGGGGGGGGGGGACAGCTACACAGGAAAGCGATTGGGATGTTCCTGCATTCTGTGAGGTGGTGCTTTGCAGCCTCCATGAAAATGTCCCAAAGCAGTCTGCTGCGTGCATCCTGGCACGTGGGCATGACCATCTCTGGAGCTCATTATTTTTGTGCCGAAGCCTTGTAGTGCAGATTTCACTGACTTTCAGATGCTCGTGTCCCCTGTCTGGACGGTCGTCCCCTCAGTGCTCCATCTTATCGCGTGTTCTCCCCTCTCTGCCTCCCCCAGGTTACCCAGCAGCTGCGAGCTCGTTTCCTCCCCAGTCCCGTCGTCATTAAGAAGCGAATCGAAGGACTTATTGAGAGAGAGTACTTGGCACGGACCCCTGAGGACCGAAAAGTGTACACTTACGTAGCGTGAGGGACAGTGCCGGACACACTGCCCAAGGAGACCTGCAGAGTTCCTCCGTCCTCCTTGACACTGACCTTTCCCCCCAGTAATGGATGACTTCCTAATTAAGAGAAAATACAAACTGTCTAGTGCAGAATAGCAGTGTAAAAGAGCTCAGCTTCTGCCTGACCTGCCACCATTTTAGATGGTAGGACCCCCCCTATCTCCAGATACATTTTGGTGCAAGATGTGATCGCACAAAGTTTTCTTTCGTTTACCTTGGGTCGGTCGGGGAAGGGGACTAAAAATTGAATAAACGGTGAGTTTCTGTTTAAAGCGAAAAATACTATTTAGACCTTTCTCCCCGATTTTTAGACTTGATGTAAATGTTTCGTGTCAATCAGTAGACGCGGTTTTCGTTGTCGTTTGCAGGGAATGACAGCAGGACGATCTAGCCAACGGACTAAGTCCACTTTTTCTTTTTGGGGCGAATTGTAAATTGTTTTTCTTTTTGGGGGGTGGCGTAGGCTGGAGAAGCAGCGTGCGTATAAATTCTTTTTGATACTGGGTTCTTTTGAGTACAGTTTCCATTTGGTTTATTGTTCTCATTTTCGAAAGGACCGGATAGGAAGGAACCGCGTTTTATTGTGTACAAATTGTAACATAGTTATTGTACTCACTGCTGCAGTGGACTGTACAGGGCCTCGTTTTCATCTTATTAAATGTAGAAAATAGAAAATAAAATGAATTAACCGTGATTTTGTTTTATTGTGCGCCTGTCTACGCTGGAAGCCACGGTAAGTACTTAATCTATAAAGACGGTTTAATTAGACATAATGAAAGCTTAATGTACTGGTAAACGCCAGCGGGGGCCAGGGATGAGCTACGGAGCCCCAATCCGCGGTGGCTCCACGCTACGTTGCGTCTTCCCTAAAACTTGTGCTCCAAATCCCGCAATATGCCTCCGCTGCCCGCCTGGTTTCCATATCTCCGGGGAGGTTAATGCTTCACGTCTGGCATTTGGTTGGGTTCATTGGTTGGCCAGCGGCCGCCGCTGGAGCTGTAAGGGCTGCGGCCGGCGGTCGCTCCAGTCTGTCCGCCAACGGGAGTCCTTACATGCGCCCTGCGGGTCAAGCTTTTTACCATCTTTAGGAGTAAGTAAGCGTTAACACTTTGCTGTACTGCGTGTGACGCTTCGCGATGCTATGAATGCATAAAATACGCTTAAACATGTTCCATGCATGTGTCTCGGGTTTCCTTTAAAAACCGCTTTTTCGATACGCAGGCGTGTTCTTAATTAGTGAGAGTATCACTTTTGTGTGTGTGGAGATTGGCCTGTATGGGATTTGTGTTTTTTCTTAACTCAGTCCAGTGCAATTTTGCTTTGCATGCTTATTTGTAATGCTGTAACTTCACCATGGTCCGGACGAATCGTATCGTGCCAGACTGCCTCTCAGTGCCCGAACCACCTATTAACCCCTTCTGAACTCGGAAAGCATGATGAAACCCGTCTGCTGCATCTAATCCCCTTTGTCCGTGCTAATGTGAAACGACTGCCATCTACTGCTGGTAATTTGCGGGCAAAAGCTCAATTTCTGCAGCACAATGGAGACCTGGTTTCGGCTCTTGTGGGGGAAAGACGCTATATGGCTTCGCAAGCAGGCGTTCCATTGTTGATAAGTTTTTTTCCCCCACCATGCTGGTGTGCTTCCCGTCGGGTAAGATCCATGTACCATAACGATGTGTTGGTTTGGTTTTTCACGCGACTGAAAGGGGAAAGCTGTAAATTTCAACTGGGTGCCTGACGTCAGGCTGCGAGCCGGTTAAAAGGAGTCTTGGAGCCGCCGATCAGCACAGCCCAGCCCAGAGCTGGCAGGGGAAACGCAGCCATGCACTGTGGCCGGTAAAGGTTGGAGGAGCCTGCGCAAACACAGCCTACTGGATGTGCTCGAAAGATGCTTCGCAGAGCCGGCCGAATAAGCAGTGGGACGGAGGATGATAACGCCGATTCGGGAGCAGAAAGTGCCGAGTAAGTTGCTTCGCCCATGGGCTGTCCGCGTCAAGTTTATGGTTCCCAGGCAGGACTTCGTTGGATATTCCTGGTTCCGTCTGTCTTTTTGTGTGCATGAATTTTCAATACAGCCTTAGCGAGAAAACAGGCGCCTGTTGCTTTGTATGGAGATTGTTGCCGGCAATAAGTTTAATTAGAGGGGGGTTCAAGTCTGTTTTTTGCGGATTATTTTTTTATAAGTTCTGCTACATCACAAACGTTTATTAGAAAGTGATTTGGGAGAAATTAAGCTTATAACTAGGTGGACCGTTCATAAATGCAAGTACCCCATTCGTCTCTTGGCCATTACTCAAACATGGCATGAGATCTATAATACAGGGTTATCCCCCCCCAACCTGGTATCTGAATGTGGTGTAAGAATCAATCGGTGACCTCCGCCCATCCTAAAAAATGTCCAATCTCAGTTGTTTCCTGTGATTAAACCCGTTACATCCCGTTTGTTTGATTAAAAGGCTACTACGCCCCGTTTCTGAAACAACTAAATTGATGAGTTACAGTGCGAGCAGGACACTAGGCGGCTGCAGCGAGCGCCTTCTCTATGTAAAAGTGTCTTTTTCAGCCTACCTATATTTTCCAAGTGTTTGCATGCACTTTAAATTCAAACACCTAATCTCGGCGTCGCTTGGCATACGTTTTCTTCTATATAACCCCCGCTTTGTAACCCAGCTATGCGCGCTGGCTGCCAAAAACTTGAGGCGTTAAAAAAGGGGGACTGTTGTCCTGGCAACAAGTAAGCAGTGAGCCGCGCCGTGGGGGACACGCTGCGGCGTCATCCGCCGCTTATTTAATGGTCACTTTGTTAATCGGCGCATTTTTCCCAGCCCTAGACGCCCTGAAATCGTTACTAAAATATTGCGTTTTATCGTGTAGGATCGTGAAGGAAGAGCCATCGTGAAGGAAGAGCGGCCGATGTGTGTTCTGCTTTTAGTTTTATGTACCTTTTTCGTTAAATAATTTACACGTCGTCATCGGACACCATAAGGTCCGCACACGGAATGACTTGTGTCCATTAGTGTGTCTGAGGACTGTGAGGAAACGGAAGTTATTTCCACGTGATTTTTGGTTATGCTGTCCAAGAAGTACTTTTTAAACCCATAGCTTTTTCACGGATAACATGTGCTGTCAAAATACATACATATGCTCAGGTTTGCCCACTCTCACGCTTATGCAAGAAATCTTACGGCAAATCTATATTATTCCTCTATAAACCTAAGATAAGCTATATCGAAAGCGTTGGGGTAGTTTGCAGACCCTACTGACTATTTACGGGGTAATAAAACTCTTACATATAAATGCGTGTGCAGACTTGTCTTGGATTGAAAATCTCAAGCCAGCCGGCTGACCAAAGTTGGCAACTCTGTATATACTGATGATTTGTGATTGAAACCTGCCTTGGATTGGGGGGGAAAACTCCCAGCCTATAGTAGTTCTTGGGTCAGTGCAATTGGGGGTTGAGGGGGGCAATTATATATTTTTGGATGCTTTGCTCTGAAGTTTACTTAATCAAAACCGTTATTCCCAGTTCTTTGATGTTTGGCTGTTACTGTTGGCTTTTAAAAAGGGAATTATACAGTTTTTTCTTTTGTATTGTAGGTCTGACTGCAGTAAAATGTCTTCAGTCGGCAGTAAGTGTTTTACCTTATCAGCATCTACAAGTTGTCCATCAATCATCATCTTTTACTGATTATAGATAATCATTGAAATGAACTTGTGTAAATTATAAGGTTCCTGGTTGGTTTTTCCCGCTGATCTCCCTTGCTTTCCCCCCTCCCTCCCACATTGTGCCCAGGTGACATGCTGCCTGAACCAGACGGGGACCCCCCCCTTATGGCCATGCACATTTTGGCCAACCCTGGGGACTCCCTGCTCCTTCAGCACACCCTGGACAGGCTGCTTGGGTGGCTGAGTCCCAGCTCCCGCTTCTTCCACGTGTCAGAGCGAGCCTGCCCCCTCCGCGACCCCCCCGGCCCGGCGGCGGGCTGGCCCTCGCTGGCCGTCACCCTCTTCCTCCACGAGTCTCACGGGGAACAACGCATCCTGAGGGTCCTGGACTTCCTGCAGCGGCCGCCGTGGCGGTACCACCACACTGAGGGCTGCCGCGGTCAGGGCGCCACCACGCGGCCCTACCTCCTGCCCAGCCGTGACTTCTACAGCCTGGGCCCCGGCATGCCGGTGTGGGCAGTGCGCCCGGTGCACTGCGGTAGCGAGGCGCTACGTGTGACTCTCCACTGCGGCCATGCCGACTTCGAGGACGCTGTGCGGTTCTACGAGATGGTCCTGCGGCGGCGTGCCGAGGAGCCCAAACCCGGCTTCTGCTGGTTCTCCCTGCGCCTGCGGCCTGGCCTCCAGCTCCAGCTCGCCCTCAAGCAGCTGGCGCTCAGTGCGCGGCCGGAGCTCTGCCATTCGGCCGTGCTGCAGTTCCAGGTGGACGAGATCGGCCAGCTCGTCCCCCTACTGCCCAACCCCTGCACTCCCATCAGCATCACCCGCTGGCAGACTGAGGACCTTGACGGCAACAAGATCCTCTTCCAAGTACGGCATCTTGTTCTAGGGTGCAGTGTTAGACTGTCTCTGCTTTTTGATCCTCTGTGTTGAATGGGAATTTCTTCTGCTCCCTTGTTTTTCTTAGATCAAAAACTCTTGTGCGAGTTTTACTTACACACGTGTTTTTAGGGCAGGACGAAACATGATTGGTTCAGAGAGACAACCAATCAGATGGTAGAGGAGGTGGGTCCAAGCAACTAGAGGAGTTGGCACCAAGACATCTGTTTGGTTTGTCTTGCCTCCTAGTTGCTTGGACCCACGTCCTCTATAATCTAATTGGATATTTTTCTGAACCAGTCATGTTTCATTCTGCCCTCAGAACATTTTTGTGTAAATAAAACTCCCATGAGAGAGAACTCTGGGTATTATTGACGAGTGTGTCCCTCAGTGAGAGAAATATGCAGCCTGGTTTTGATTGCATGTCCTGTTGCCCTCTGACCCAGACACACCACCTGGGATGGTCTTTATTGCTAAGCGTCTTCGGGGGGGGGGGCGGCTTCCAGGCTGCTTGCTGAATTCCTGTGTTCACTTTGTAGATGCATTGGATTTGGACATTTTTAGGAATGGAGTGTATAGGCGTGGTAAACCGACCTGCCCCCATAAGGGCCAGTAAATGGGCACAGCCTCAGTAATAATGGGGAGCTTCTCGCACCCCGTGAGGAATGTCATAGTAACTGACACCTAGTGTGTAATTGTGAAATGTGGTGGTATACAATACTTTGTGGAAAAACAAACAAAAAATAATAATCCCGATGGCTAATTATACCTTTTTTTATGGGTAAGTACCACCTCTGTCCAGTAGGGGGTGTCCTCCCCCAACATGAGCAGTGGCCTGTGAATATTCCTGTTAAGTATAGCTGGGTAAATTATCCTTGCTGTCTGTTTATGTAGTAATCTGAGGAGTATGGAAAATGGAAAGTATTTGAGTAGGCCTGTTTGAAAGTGCGCGGGAGGTGGGTGACCTCACCCTGTGAGGGCAGCCGTGTGCAGCTAAGTGGGCTTTGTGGGGGTGTTTTTGTGGAGCTGTGTAGAGCAGACTCTCCCTCTGCTACTCGGGAACGGCCCACTGACTCCTGGAATCCCCGAGCCTCGAACTTTATGGCTGACATCTTTTCTTCCTCTCTGTGACCGAGGCCTCTGTCTTACTCCCGCAGGTGAAGGGGAATTTCCACGCGGCCGCCTCTACCCCAGTCTTCAGGGCTCTGCAGCATAGCGCTGGCCTGCCCTGCCTTCAGGCCCGCTCCCCGTCCACCCTGGACGCCCGGCTGAAGGAGCAGGGGCCCGGCCGCCCCATGGGGGGCACGGGGCGGGACAGCTGCTGCAGCACCCCAGCCAGCAGCTCCTGTTACTCCTCCCAGCGCAGCAGCCCCACGGCCCCGCCAGGCCTCCTGCTTGAGGAGACTGATGTGGACACGGGCTGCTCTGTAGCGCCCCCTATAGGTGGCGTCCTGGATACCTTTGGCAGGGAGCTGTGTGTGTATCTGCCGCCTGGCAAGGCCTCGTCTCTGAGCTCCCCGGGGCCCAGGAGCACCGGACTGCACTCTGGCCCCACCGGCTCCCCTCCCAGCCTGACTGTCCCTGGACGAGAGTCGCCAGCAGCTCTGGACCAGGCCCTGGCCTGTGGACACAAGCCTCAGGAGGAGGAGTTTTTCATCTGACGGGAACCCCACGATCTGCTGTGGCCTGCTGATTGGACTTAGGACTTTATCCTATTTTTTTAATTGTCTATACAGGTTGTTGACTTTGATTGTTCTGAGAATATGTGGCCGTGACTGCAGTGTCTGGCCGTGTGAGTGTATGACAGTTTCTGCTCCTGAAGAAGATTGTGATAAAAAGTTAAACACCAAATAATATGAGTTGATGAGAGGGTATACTATGCATTTCATAGTTAGAGCTGGCCAGTTGATGACCTGTACAGCATCTTCTGTAACTGGTCCAGGGTCTATCCTGTAGGCCTCTGTGTGACTGAGGCCCCTCTCTCACTCCCGCAGATGAAGGGGCATTTACCCCAAGAGCGAGTGAGCTGTTAGTCACCCTGCCTTGTGTAGTCACCTGCTCATTTTGGTTCGTTTCTAATTATAGCCAGAAATAACTTTATTTTACACCCAAATCATTGCGATGGTGCCAGAAATTTAGGAATGAGCAGAAATAAATGAGGCAGATGCTGGCAGTGGCCGAGTTTTATTTGCAGTTAGACGTGCGTCCCTCATCCACATGAGCAGAAATGTGGAAATTCTACACAACAAAATATTGGCTATAGCTTTCGTGACCTTTCAGCTAGGGTGTGCAGCATCTCTGGGGAACCACCCCCAGATCAGATATGTCAGGGCTCCAGCACGGCATGTGGGTGCCACAATATGGACTTTTCCCGCTACACCGGCAGTCTAAGCTGAGTAACTGCCTGCTGACCGACCCGGCTGGACCTGCACCACCCTGCTTCAGAACATGCCCCTGTACTTCAGCCTGTCTTCCTCCTGCTTCTCCTCCATCCGCATGTTCAGCACCGCCATCTCCATCTTCACCGTCTTCTTCATGCCGGGGTCCAGCTCCAGCACCTTCTGGAAGTCCTGCCTGGCCTCGTCCTCGTCCCACACCTGGACGTGAGCCTTGGCACGCAGGAAGTAAGCCTTAGTGACCCCTGCAGGAGAGAGGGGCCCAGTCAGGGTTTGCGAACAGGGGGATGGAGGGATTGTGGTGGTAGTGGGGGCTCAGCCAAATGGACTGCTTCCTTTAATCCTGCGTTTCTGAATCCAATGTTCTCAGACCCCCAGAAAGTCCATGTTTTTGGGATGTGGGAGGCAACAAAAACATGGACAGTCTGGGTCTCCCAGAGGACAGGACTGAGAAACACTGCTGTGAAGCATTTCAGACAAGTGTACATATATACGTGATATAGCCTTGAAAGCAAGAGATGAGCAGTAATCTGCTGGTGTGTGACACTTCAGAGGATGCAGAACACAGTTGTTATTCAGCGTGTGCAGTGAGGCAGCCTCGCACCCGGGCAGGCGGGGGCAGGGGGGGACAACGGCTGAATGCTGATGAAAAAGCTAGAAGTGGAGGAGCGGCAGCTTCTGGAAGATTCTGCCAGAGTAACCAAGGGGGGAGCAGTAGAGCTGTCTGCATTCAAAGGTGCGAAAGTGTTAACGACATCATGCACAGTGCCCAGAAAGAGGAAGAGACCTGGGTGCTGGCTGATGATGTCACTGCTGTGCTCGATGACCTCGTAGTACTCCTCCATGCGGAGCAGACATTGGCAGTAGTTGAGGGTCAGGGTGTGGGCCATCTTCTCCATCTTCAGCCAGGGGGCCTCCCATGCTTTTTGCTGGGGGGATAGAAGAGCTTAGTCACAGTGAGGAGGCTTGATCCCCCCCCCCCGGCGTGTAGATACCTTGGTCTGGACGTTCTTGATGCAAATGAGGGCTTCCTTGTACTTGAGCGTGGCCTCCTGGTAGCGGCCCTGCTTGTAGAGCATGTTCCCCTGGCCGTGGAGCAGCGGCACGGCCTTCAGCCGCTCCTCATCGCTCAGCGCCCACGACTCGCGCTGGTACTCGCTTGGCTGCTCCACCTGGGGGAGCCGTTGGGGTCAGCAGGGGCTCTGCGGTGGGAGTCTGCTCTACAATTGTGTGCTGCACCATGCTACAGCCACAGCTGGACGAGGGACTTTGTTTATGCAAATACTGGGAAAAGGAGCAGCCTCTGTTTGTGTCTGTATGTGAGTGGTATACATTACATCGTGGGGACCAAATGTCTCAGGCTCTTAACCACTGTGGGGTACAGATCCGTGTGCTGGGGGGGGTCCAGTTTTGATGTTGTGTGGGGGGGGGATTCAATTTGACTGCAATTAATGAACTAAAAATGTCTTCTAAGTGTTGTATTTTGTTTGGTTACTGGCTGGGTAGGGCTTGGGGTCGTCATGGCTGGGATTAGGGTTTTGCCCATAGGAATGAATGGAGAGTCCCCACAAAGATATGAATATAAACATGTGTCTCTGTGTCTCTCTCTCTGGGCCAGAGGTCAGGGGTCACACACCTTCAGCAGCTCCAGCATAAAGCAGAGCGGCTTCGGCTCCTTCTGCAGCTGGTCCAGGTCGGCGTAGCCCAGCGTGTGGTAGGCGAAGACGTTGGCCATGCCGCAGGTGTGGATATGCCAGTCCACAGGGTCCTTCCCCTCTGCGATGCGTCTCAGGCTCTTAGCCACGATGGGGTACAGTCCCGTGTGCTGGGGGGGGGGGTCCATCCACACATGGTACAGAGTGAGGGCGACCGGTTTAGAAGCACATTGCTAAGGAGCTGTGTAATCCTAGCAGGTGACCCACACAGCAGCACTGTACAGCGCCTCCTGCAGGAATAACATCTTCCACTACAGCGATTCAGAGCGGTGAGAAGAACCTTCTAGCACCACCTGTGAACACAAAGGCCTGCTCTGTGTTCCCCAAGGCCTGCAATCTGAGGGGGTGGGGATATGGTGACGCAATGTGGAGGTGATTAGGAAGCCTGGAGTTCCTCAGATTAATGTTCTGCTAGAAGCTGTGGACTGTGACACCACACAGAATGGGAGGAGAGTTGGGAGGTGATTAAGGAGTAACCATTTGCATCAATACATGGCCTTGTCTGTAGCATTGTGGGTCTGGACCCCAGTCCCTGCTGGCCACGGCTTCGAATGGTTCAAGTCCTCTTTAAACCCTGAGGGAGAATCAGGACGCGCCCAGAACCCCCTGGGCAGATCAGGTACTCACGATGACGTCGCACCAGAACTCGGCCACCTCCCCGACCCGCATGGAGCCGAGTAGCGTCTCCCAGATCTCCATCTTAAACATGTTCCCCATCACTATTTCCATGGGTACTCCCACCTTCCTGCTGTCATCCAGCACAGTGCGCTCATCGTCACACAGCTGCGTGCGGAAGTGGAAGGTCACCTGTCCGAGAGAAAGGGGCAGGGTTTATGGTCTCTGCCACCTGATTGGCTGCGTCTCCTCCATGTCTGTTTTGCCAAAGTCAAGAAAGTTAAATTACTAACAGGGTGTGTCACATTATTGTCTGTCATGTGACTAGTATTTGCCATTTTTTGTCCTGCGAAATTAAGTGCCGCCTTTGAAACTTTTCATGAGTTAGTAGCTCTAGATGAGCTGTGTTTTCCAACCCAGTCCTCAGGGACCCACAGACAGTCCCATGTTTTTGCAAAAATGTGCGCTGTTTGGGAGGGAACTGGGAGGGAGCAAAAACTTGGACGGGGTTGGGAAACACTGCTCTAGAAGAACTGAGTATTCTAGTGAAATATGGGAGGGTTTCAATTGGTTTTTATTTAAGTGTTTACATTAATAATATTTCAGTTTGCATATTCTAGATGCACAACATCTAGGCCATCGAAAACAGCACAATTTTCACCCATTCAGGGCTGCTTACGTGGGACCGCTGTGGCATTCATTTGGTGACAAGCGTCAAGAAATGTCCCAACGCTTACCACACCATTGCTACACCATAACCACAACCACAGGCCGAGCTGCACACGGACAAGGTGGGACTCGAAGCGTGACATCATACAGTTTAGTGAAATGAAATGATTCAATGCCCATTATACAAAGAGGGGTACAGGTGCAGTCTCCGCTCACCCCAAGCTTGCGGGGGGGGGGGGGGGGTCACAGCACAGGGTCAGCCAGTATGCAGCCCCCTGTGGGCTCAAGGGCCCACAGACGTGAAACGATTCTGCTGAGGCTGGGGCTCAAACCGGCGACCTTCTGATCACAGGCTTAGCCTACTGGGCCAGTGGTTTGTAAAGGAAAATCAGAACGATCGTATGGGAAGTAGAGTGACACTGAGCCTAGGCAACGGTTTGCGTGTCTCATTTTACTGAGGTATTTTTATCTTTGAAGCAGGAGATGAAACAGATCAGACAGTGAACTAACTTTCATTAAATGCTGAGAAACAAACTCATCACGATCTACATTCACTTGTGAACGCTGTTCGATTCAGCATGTCTTGTAAAAGCATTTTCCAATGAAAAACAGCTGCTCAAGTCAACCTCATTTTGCCAAGAGATTTGTCGCAGTCACCTGCGGGGGTGCGGGGCGGGGCGGGGGGGGGGCCTACCTTTGTGCCGGTGACAAATCGAGGTAGTTCTGAGGATCCCCCGTGCAGGATGGTCTTCTTCACGCCAAGCATCAGGGTCTGCTCCATGCCCACACCTGGCTGCGTCTGTCCCCAGTGACGGGTGCGTAGCCTTTAGTGGTTTTGGTGGGATTACAAACAGGCTGAGATAATAGGATTAGAATCATGGCCCCACCCCCAGCTTGTCAAGAAACCCCAGAAAAAATCTGTGCCAGTTAATCTATCAACAGGACGACACTGGAAGCCTCTGGAAGGGACAGGAACCAAGCTGTCGCCCAAAGCCACACGAGTGTGTTCTTATGCTCAGAGTGCTCAAAGGCACACGCTGATTCAGCAGGTCACTGCTTTGGGTGGGGAGGGCCCACGAACCCTGACAGATTCAGGCTCCCCCCCATGTCATTGTTTTCCAAGCACCAGAGAGACTAAGGCGCACAGAGGGATGACAGGACAGAGCCGCTGAGGATGGACAGGCAGTTCTCAAGCACCAACAGGCCCTCCAGCACCAACAGGCCCTCCAGCACCAACAGGCCCTCCAGCACCAACAGGCCCTCCAGCACCAACAGGCCCTCCGAATGCCTCCTCCCGGCAGCCCGATGGCCAAGACACCCAGATACACACGACCAGTCAAACGTTTTTTCACACCACAGGTTTTTACCACTTTCTTATTCCATAAGCTACAGATGTTTAAGATCTTGTTAAACACTGGAAAGTCGCCTGCATAACAATAAATGAAAGTATAAGTCAAATAAAACAAGTTTCCTTTATAACATGGAAAGAGTACGTAACAGTGCATGTCTGACATCCTATTAACTGGTTGTGTGGTGATGGCGGAGTCAGATTCTAGGCTGCCCTTTAATTTTAAATGCACTAGTTAATTATTTCATCCCATGAAACAGAGCAGTATTTAATGTCCCTTGTAGATAGAATGCCTTGAATTGCTCTGCTGCTATAGGAGGTTACTTTGATGAATCAAAGACATTTTCTTTTTTTGCTAACAAAGGTACTCAAATGGTGAATAAACTGTAAAATTCATGTTTAGCAAAGAATATTGCGTGTATTTTTAGTCAATGTTAAGTAACATGCACATAGAAAATTTTATAAAAACTTTTGACTGGTAGTGTAGATATGATATAGATGACAAAATGCTCTGCACAATTTACAAACGAATAAGAAACAACTGAAACAGGACCGAAATTAGGTTCATATAGTCCGACATGTCAGGGATAGATCCCGTTTTATAACACGGCAAGCTTTAGGCGTCCAGCCAGCAGAAAAGCTCAATGGACCGACCCGGGGTCAAGGTCAGATTTACTCACGTAACACTGGTCAAGATGCCTGGATTATCCTGACACTCCAGTGCAAGGTCCTTCATGGCTGATTGCTCATCGCCCTCTGGTGGCAGTGATGCAAAATCACAAGTATGGGGGGCCTCACTTTCTTTGGTTGGGTAGTAATTAAATCAGTTACAGGATATTTATATACGTGGATAATTGACAAGGCTAAGATTTGTTAATATGTCGCTTGCATTTGATAATGTCCATGTTCATCATTTCATTTCACTCCACTTTCTTTTGTGCAACTTGGAGGATCAACCATTGAAGGGCCAGAGGCTGAAGCAATATTGCTTCAGATGTTCAGCTGTGTTGCCAGGGTAACGGATGTTACCTCAAGGCTACGTCACGATGCGGGATCGAATGCTAGAGATCCGTTAGCTGGGGGGGG